GCATGTGAGGAATGAGAAAACCCATGAAGGGGACAATCCACTATTTCAGGTACTTAGGGCATTATATTTTTTATATGGTTATGATTTTAATTTATTACTAAGATTTGATCTAGTTAATTTGGTTTGATTTGGTTTGATCTGATTTTAATTAAAGTTAATGTTTTTTATCTGATTTGGAAGAAATATAGTGAGATGTTAAAGAAATGACAAATAATTGGGAAAACCTTTAAGTTTGAAAAAATTAAGATGGCTTAAAATAAGTGTCATACATATTTTTTATCAAAAACAATTTATATGGCCTAGTATTCTTTCAAATGTTTTTAGTCAAAACAACTCAAACTCCATTCATTTTTAGGATTTTGTCTCTTTTTACTTTTTCCGTATGGCCTAGTATTCTTTCAAACCATTACTAATATATTCCTTTGTTCCTAGAAAATTTTCTTTTTTTGATTAACGTGCAAAACTCCACGAGTTTAGAAATAATTTTATTTACAAATTCATAAAGAAACATAACATAAAATTTTTATATTTAAAATTCTACAAAATAAGTGACAAGAATCTTTTATTTTATCAAATTATCAAAGAAAATATATAAATAATTAAGAGTTATTGAAAGAACGTAATAGTAAACCGGTAACTTTTTTAGGAACGAATGGAGTATAAGAACAAAGGAAAACAATGTGTAGATGACACGCTTGCCACCTCGGATAAAACTTCCTCTGTGCCTCCTGTGTATATACCATTCCTCCATGGTTTGCAAGTTAGGTGCGAGGCACTTTAGTAATATGAGTGATGCTAGTTCTAAGGTCTACATTTAAAATATGGACTTTCACACATTTTGCATTAGTTTTCATATGAATATTTTCTATTCTACAGAAAGTCTACTTGCTTTATGTTACAAATACACCAAGGTTCATAAAATAAACATGAGAATTATGAATATTAATTTTTCATTAGAAATTATTGATGTGGCATGATTATTTTCCAGTTGAGCATAAGAATAACACATCATTTATTCAATCAAACTCGATTAGATTGCAAACATCACTCCAGTATAAATTACTTTATCCTTAAATTTATCCCTTTTAATCTTTCATGGTTAGTTTGTTCATGGAACCTCACCTTCCACTTTTAAGTGTTTTTTTAAAGAATTATAATTTCCCAAAGTGCTTGGAAGAGAGTGTGAGAAATCCAACCTAAATTTGAACAAACTAAAACTATTTGGTAACGGTGTGACATTTTTATAAAATGGATAATGCTAAGATGTCACTGTATGGGTATTACCATAGATACACTCATGTTTGGCCCCTTATAAAATTCATTTCTAAAATAATCATGTCATATCTCAGTTTTTTTAGGTTGGAAAATTGTTGTAAAAGAACATAGTGATCAACATATTTTTCAAAGTTTGATGCCTTGAATAAAACTCCATAGATTTTCTCATTTAGCTCTTTTTATTCGTTCGTCATCGATTTTCTCATTATACTTTTTAACATACAAAATACAAAAAACTACGGTACTCTCTATTTTGAAATAATAATTATCGGGTACTTCTAGTTTTTAAAATTTACTATAGAATGCCCTAAAATATTGAAAAACTAACTGAGGGATGATTTTCCATCCATCCCTCCATTTGCTCCAACCACCTCCGTCATTTCATCATCATCATCATCATCCCCTATTCATATTCGCCCCGCCTTCATCATCATCTTCTTCTTTTTTCTTTTTCCTTTTCTTCTTTTTTTACTTTTCTTCTTCTCCCTCCAATCCAGCCCCCACTCACCCTCTCCCTTAATTTTCTTCTTCTTGTTTTTCTATTATTATTATTTAAAAATAAATTAGTAATTTTACACCCTAAAAAAGTAGTAATTTTATTAATCTAAATAGAGATAAATACCAAGTAATAAATAAGAATAACAATACAAGAAGAAAATAATAACAAATACATAATATTTATAATAAATACTAATTAAAATTAGTAATAATTAGTATTTTTTTGAAAAAAAATTGAGTAGTACAACTACTAATTCTTTTAATAATAATAATAATTATTATTAATATCATTATTTATATTAAAAATAATTAGTGGTAATACTCTATTTATAATAATAATAATTATTGTTGCATATTTAGCACTATTCATTAGTGCTTTTTTCTAAACATTAGAGTAGTAAAATTACTTTTTTAGGGTGTAAAATTACTACTTACTTTATTATTATTATTATTATTATTATTGTTATTGTTATTGTTATAATAATAATAATAATAATAATAATAGAAAAATAAGAAGAATAAAAAGGGGGAGAGTGTGGTTTGGGGGGGGCTAGATGTGGAGAACAAAGAAGAAGAATAGCGAGGGAGAAGATGATGATGATGATATGGTCATGGTGTAGAAATGACGGAGTTTGTAGGAGCGGATGGATGGAAAATCGCCCTTCAATCAGTTTTTCAATATTTTAAGGTACCTCGTAATATATTTTAAAAATTAGAGGTACCCAACAGTCATTATTTCAAAATAAAAGGTACCTAGCAGTAGTTTTTTGCACAAAATACCTTAAATAACCCTCTACTATTTCTCCCCTTCTTTTCTTTCTTTCTTTTTCGTTTTCCTCCACCACTTTCTTCTTTCTTTTTATTTCCTTTCTTCATCTTCTTCCCCTAAACTCATTGTACAAAATTAGCAAAACCACTCGGGGAATAACTGTTTAAAACTCAGCCACTACCACCACACCAAACTAACCTGCGCCCTCCCAAAATGGAGCCTTGATTAGCCCATCTGAACATGATTGAAGGGGGACTAGTTTGAAACAATCTGACAAGGAGGGACTACATTGCAATAACAATTTGGATTTCAGAACCCGGAAATGCCAGAGGGGAATTGAAAAGAAAAATACATTTGAGAGAAAAAAATAGTTCAAACTCAATATATCAAGTTCTATTTGTATTATATAAACACAAATGAATCTGTGCGAGCACGTGTGTTGAGTTTACGCACGTAAAACCAAACATTAAAAAATTGTTTTCATTGGCACCCCCCCCTTTCCCTGCCATTTTCCGCATTCCGAACACAGCCTTGTTTAGTAGCTGTAATTTGAGTCATATGAGATGAAAATGTTTTGGCCATGCTCGAATTCGTAAAGCAAACCTCTTTGGCATCTCATCCGCCCGAATGTTTTTGCTTGCTTGCAACAACTCCTCACATGCAGAGTTTGGAAAAGCATTACCCAGTGCACGAAACAAAGCGATGATGGAAGGCTCCCACACTTCAACGTCAAGTGTCAAGGATCTTACCTGTCCACGGTAAATGTTGATCCATAAGATAAGAAATCGTGATAAATTATTTCCTGCTCTGATATTGATGGGTATACAAAACGTTTGTATAAAGTGTCAATAACCAAATCAAACCAAGTATATCCCACTTAAGAGTCAGGTCTGGGTGGAGGGCGAGATGTACACAAATTGTACCTCTACTACAAGGAGTGGAGCAAATGTCATTTTTGAAAGGACCCCAGACAAACAATGACCAGCTGGGAGCGATAAAAAACACATCGACATCATTCACACACATCCCTTAAATAGCCTCCTCAGAGTTCAAATCCTCAAATGAGTTGTGCACGTGATGAACATTGTTTGGGTATAAATAACGATGCCTACATGTGAGGGGCGTGCCATCTATATTAGCTAAATTAAAAGTGAATTCCATAAATGGTCTCTAATTACAGGTGGTTTTCCATATTTAGTCCCCAATTCTACGACATTACATAGATGGTCCTCAATTTTTTAAAACTATTCCATAATCGGTCCTTCAAGAACTATTTGTAGAAAAATATTGTCATATTTGGCCTAAAGACTATTTATGGAATAGTTTCCAAAAATTGAGGACCATTTATGTAATATCTTAGAATTGGGGACTAGATATGAAAAACCACCTATAATTGGGGACCATGTACAGAATTTACTCTAAATTAAATTGCAACAATTAGAACCATGTACGATATAAATAGATTAGAGGTTTACGAAGTTTGAATGTGAATTGCAAATAAACGGAACCAAAGAAACCCAGTAAATTCCACTCAGGAATGCAATATAGGGGAAAGATTATTTGCTTACTTGCTTTTGACATATGTACATCAAGGTTCCGGTGAACCAGAACGTTCAATGCATATTTATCAGGGGCACCACAGTCAGCACATTTCTCATTCCTCGGCAACCATTTTAGTGCATCGACAGGTTTTCCTGCATGAACGCTTGTGGGCAGTTAAGTGTACTTCTTGATGCACTGGCAATAATTTGATGAATTGGAGGTTATATCCCCTCCAGAATCCAGATGAAATATCTTCAATTGCCATTCTGAAGGACTTCCAATAGAACTGCTTTTAGTCCCCAAAAAATATTTATTCCTTGAATGAAGGCCTCCTAAATGCACTTTTGAACATAAGAAACAGAGATATCCTAGCTGGCAGCTTTCTGAACACATTTAGGCTAGATATGGCCTTGTGATTGTGTTGTCTCCTTTGTATGTGCTCCCTTTTCTTTTCTGGTTGGGAAAGTGTGATTAATGAGTAAATCCCAGCTTTGGTTATTTAAAAAAATAAAGAAACTAGTATGCTCTAAGTTTATTAAAAAAATAATAATGTGCAAAATAAGTATTCTTTAACTACTAAATGGGTGTATGCTGAATGTACAATAAACACCATGCATGTAATATAGAAAGTCCTGTATCTTATCATCAGTTCATCTAGAGATCATAATAAGCTAGTGTTACAAAATAAGTAATAGTAGAAATTGAATAATTGATAATAACAAAGATAATATAGAAATAAAGAACAAACTTTGCACCTTTTCATCATGTCTTCTGATTATATAGCATACCTTCTGATAAAGACCTCTGAACAGTTTGACTTTCCTTCTAATACAACCTGACTACTTTTTTTACTAAAAATAAAATAAATTAACCACTTTTCAACCACTTCACGCAGCATAAATGAACTCAATTCAACAAACCCAAGCAATATAAATCAAATTTATATCACACAAATAAACAAAGGTCACCTTTCAATCACTGCCCACAGCGAAAATCAAGTCAATCCAACAATACACAAACTATAAGAATTGAATCTTTACTGTGAAAAAAATGAGCTTATAAAAATCAAGTGGACAAATGCGAAAAATCAGCAATGACATTGACATATTAAAGATTCATAGATTACTCTCAACAGCCCAAGATACAAACAATATTGTAGCTGTCAGTCCTGTTTGATAACAGAATTTTAAGAGAAAACTGAACCTCTTAAAGCATTCCTTAAAAAGTTAGGTATAGCTAGAACTTCTACCTTTCCACTTCATGCCTTTCCTTCCTCTGTTGTTCACGCATCATCTTAGGTTCTTCTAGGAAGACAGTAACATATAATTTAAGATGCTAGCGTTGACATATGGAGAAGAGCACGGGAAACACAAAGAAACACTTATATTACTTGAGACTTCTCCATGTATTCCTATTCTGGAGGGATTCAAGGACAGCTCTTGAAACGACAAAAAGATTAGCTAGTCAACTCGGTGTTCAGATATTCTTGATATAGTTGGAATTGTTTTTGGAAATGCATGCCTTGCCTCTTCAACTGCTGAAACAAATCCAGCTCCTTCGATGTCAAGTCAAAATTACTACTACCAAAATTCAACTCCATGGGGCATCCCTCATCAAATAGTGTTGCTCCTCCTATCAGCTCCTCTTCCCCGTGTTTCAGGTAAACAAAGGTTTCATACATTTTATGTTCATCAGATTTCTCTAGTGCCGCATCGCCTGAAGAAAAAGTAGGTCTGTGTATACCCAAAATATTCAGGTTTTCAACCGCATTTAAAATATCATCTGTATCATCAGCTAGTGAAGCAATTTTTCCGTTCAGAGGTTCAGCAGATTGCATTGCACATGCTTCTTCCATTACTTTACCACATTCACGTTGAAATTCATCATCAACTGGTAAAATATCACTTTCTTCCATTCCCTGGTTACGAAGAACAATCAGAAAATGAGTAGGAAGGACTGGGCTTACAAAAGCATCAGAAGAAGACTGCACTTCTTCCGATGATGATGGGGTTTTCTGAAAAGGAAAAGGATATGGATTTCTATCTGAAAAAATATCAACCCCGTCAGAAGAAGCTGAGGAAGCAGTCAAGGCAAGGAGATTCATAGGCAAACTGGACCAAATGCTTTTCATAGTGATCTCACTAAAGCTAGTAGGAAAGGTGGCAGTTTTTATCATTGCTGGAATACCTTGCAGTGATCTCAGTGCAGTGATGCCACGTGCCTTCATGTTCTCACATATTTCATGATGGAACTTTGACTGATTTTGCTCGGCATATTTCTGAAGATTTATTTGCCTCCTGTCAACAAGCATAGTAAGATTACCATACAGATACTCTTTAAGAAAGTCCATTTTCAGATAACCATGCTTACGCAACTCAAGCTCACCACTATTGCCTGCATCATCATACAAAAAATTGTCCTCGGTGCAACCGGATTTTGACAGTTTGTGGGCTTCTTTGCACGCATTATTATTAAATACCCAATCTGCAGTGTATCTTTGAGCTTCTAGTTTGCCAGAGGACATTAACCTAATAAGAGAGAACCCAAGAGACTTGTTGCAGTTAACATTAGGATCATTATCAAGAATCCCAAACCCCAAAACAATGTCTTTTTTCTGTTTCCAATCAATCCAATCAGGGAGAAGATCTTTGAGGAGATCTCCTCTCATAAGACAACTTCCACAAAAACAATCACGGCCAGACAAAGAAAATTCTGAGGGGAGGCCCCATGAATAGAAGGCATTGCAGGCTGTTGAAAGAACCGATGGTCCTCTCCTACCATCTGGTGGCCCATAAAAGAAAATACTAAATCCACAGTTCCAAAACGAACCCAATAAAATGCAGTGGCCAGATTCAGATGCCCACTGGAAATCATCGTCATTGATAATTGGTCTCAACTTAGATAATTTAAAGATAGTGATGTATTCGGGGTTTTGGATAGCGTGGGCCCATTGTAGCACTGGCATGGAGGGCTTTCTTACATCGCAAAGTATCAGCAAGCTGTTGGAAGCAGCAGCAAAACAAAAGCCACTAGAATCTGGCCTAGACAGGGCAACAAATCTATCACATGTCCCCATAGATAAGAACCCAACCTTTAGTAGAGTGCAAACTTTATGCTCGTCGAACCTCAAATCAACCAGGAAAACTGTACTAGAATGAGCAACAACCAAAATTCTAGGGTGCCAACTGAATTCACAACCCACCCACTTCCCATTCTGAATCAAATCGCCCCAGGGAACACACAGCTTTTTCCCTTGTCTGTTTAATGCATTCCCACCACTTTTCAGCCAACAACTCATATCAAACAGGAAGAGTTTCCCGCTTTCAAGCAGAACTACACACTCTTCACTCAAATGTGGACTCCAACAGGCATGAACAACAGCAGAACCCTGAAACAACTTAACACCGACATGGCCCAAATAATCTAAGAGTGTACTTTCAAAGCCCCCTTCCGGCATCTTCACACTAAACCAATGCACAGAATACATTGTGCAAGCCATGATATACCCAAAACAATTACCACTGTGTGAAGAGGTGCTAAATACATCAAAATCAGCAACGGCGTTCACCAATAATCTCGAGATTCGATGATACAGCCTACGACTATGCACACAGATATCTCTCCCATCCTTGAACTCCCTGACACTCATAGATCCAGAATCATTCAAAGTGAGCATAGCAAACCCTATCTGGTCATAATTATCTCCGGTGGGGAAAAAAGCAAGAACCCTAGCATCAGCATCACCATCACCATCACCATCACCATCACCATCTTTTTGGATCGGGCAAGGAAGCAGTTGTAGAGCATTGTAGTTGTGGGCATGGCCAGGATCCAGCGGAGGTCCCATATCTGAAGCAATGCTAGAGGCAGTAGAATGATTGATGGTAGTTGAAGTGAAGAGAAATCTGTGAAGGGTGAAGTCAGGATATGGAGGAGGGAGGCGAGGGGAAAGGGAAGGGGAGTTCAGAAGGCCAATTAGGGTTTCCCGGCACGGATTGAAGATTAGAGGTCCAATTGAAGGGATGGAAGGGCTTTTCTCGAGACACCTGCGCTTGGAAGAGGATGATGCTTTGTTTGGGACAAGGAGCGGGGGGCAGAAGGAAAAGGATACTGGCCATAGGGACTTCCAGTCTTCTGAAAACTCCATAGCAGAGGCAGTCTTAATTGTTTTTTAACTGTGATTATTGTGGATTCAGAGCATTCTTTCATGCATGGAGCATTCATTAATTTGCTCGCTGACCACTGCACAGCCTGCAGAGTTAGTCTGACATTAAAGCCAGACAGGTTTTCCTGATGTTTTCTTGTTTTTGAGGGAGAAATGCCCTGAAGGGGAGGATTGTCTGCAACAAGAAGATCGAGTTTCAATAATGTTTATATAGGATATTTGCTCTCTCAATTAAAGGAAATTAAACTCAAACACTGAGACGCTTCCAGAATTTTGTGACCACGGGTCCCAAACTCTCAAAGCTCCAAGTCACTGTCTCAAGATAATTCCTAACTTTAACTCATAAGTTTTGACAATCAATTAAAAAACAATATATTTGTCTACTATAACTAATAATAAAATCATATAGAAATAATAATATTTTACAACCGGATTCTTCTAACTTTCACACTTTGAAAGTGATCTATTATTACATAATCACTAATAGTGGAAAAAACATTTCTCTCAACATATGTTACTAAGCAATCATTCAACCATCGGTCACATATTTTATTCCACCAATTAGTTTGGATGGAAATTTCTAGTATCAAAGTTGAAAATGCCCTTTTTAAAATAAGTATGGCGCATCTCATCTTGAACATTTGGTTAAAGTCAAATAGGGCGTATTTGCTTTTCTAATTTAGGGTGAGCTTCCAAAGATTCAAAATCCAAATTATCATCAAATTCTTTTTCTTTAAGAATAGGTGTAGATTGAGTGCTTTCTTGGCACATTAGAGCACAGATATTAAAATTTGTACCACTTCCACTGGACTTTGATTCTTTATATTTGGGTTGTTTGTTGAAATATCTTTGCATGGTACGGAGTAAATCCTAACTTTAATTCATACTCCCTCCGTCCTAAAACTATCTTCCTAGTTACTATTCACATGGTCAAACTTAAATCACTTTCTTTACCTATTTCATTAGTTATTTGATAAAATAAAATAGTCTTGTCACCTCTTTCTTTGTAAAACTTTTGATGTAGTTTTTAAATATATAAATTTTATTTTTTAATTTTACACCTACAATCAAATAAATTGAATTGAAAATAAAATCGGTCAAACCTCGTAAACACAAACGGGAAAATAGTTTTAGGACGGAGGGAGTAACACTTAGTAAAATATTCAAATAAAATGCAAAAACATCATAGGGCATACATTACTTACTGATATTCAAAAGACCTTAAAACTATTTACCTTTTATATTAAAGATTAGGAAATATGGACGGTAGATTGTGGTGGAATGGCTGTGCCGACCGTCACTGTAGCCAGCGCACCACTGGGAAGTCACTGCCGTGCCGCGGAAACATGAAAGGAATTGAAAATGATAAGTTAGGAGAAATTGGTGGTGCCGTACTCATCAGTAACCAAAAGGAGAACCTTTTTGCTAATTGCAATATGCTTCGTATCAAATTTCAAAACTGAAATTAAAGCTGCTCATATAAACAATCAAGCTCGAAATGCAAATGAAAGATATGCAAAAATTGAAAATTTAAGAAAAAGATGAACCTTTGTGACCGGGTGGCGCGGTGGTGGTCGGCGAGTGGATCGGAATGTGACTAGGTTTTCGCCCTCCCTCCTTTCTAAGTCGATCAGGACCTATTTAGTGAAACGAAGTCGTTTCACGTTGTCCTTCTATATAGGGTCCAAAGTTTTGTTTCTGTTAGCTTATTCGAATACGCGTATAATACATTAATTTGTACGTTCGGGTATAATACGGTTCATTTTTTTAAAATACGGCTAATTATACATTTTATACATTCGGAATACGTATACGGTTACGTTCGTGTTTAATACGTTTGCTTTTTAAAAAAATACGGCTTACCATGTGTACATATATTTTGAACAAGAATTATATTTTTTATTAAACTTTTAGCTTAAAAATAACATGAATCCAATAACCAACCACTAAACACGAATTAAAAACAAATACACTACAAATAATATGCTAAAAAATAACTAATAGATAAAGTTCAAATTCAAAACTTCAGAGGAACATCACATCGTCACAAAAAATAAGTTATTATCTAAATCCAAACTATTTTGTCTAAGCATTATCTCGCAACTCTACAAAATTAGTTAAATCAAAGAAATCAGCATCATCATCAACGTAAGTCAAATTACTGTTCCAAAAACTTAAACTCAACCAAGATTCAAGAATTCAAATAAAACTTGTATTCACTTAAAGAATTTACTTGGCAAAAGATGACTCCAGTTCCACTAATATGTCATCTCGATTTGCAAAAAATAGAAAAAAAGAAGAAAACTTTTTTAACTATTATGCATAGCCAAGTATTTAAATTGTTCAATTGGTATATAATTAGGTAGTTCAATAATTAGCCATAAAAATAGTGTCTCAAAAGAATTGCTGTTGCTGCACATCATCACAGGCGCACAACTGCATTTTTTTAAAATTAGAATGCATGTTTAATTTTCTACACTGGTGGGGTTTGAAATTTGCAAATATCAATATCTATACAAAGTAGCTAATCGATAAATAAAAAAAATACATCCCTCCTAAGAACTTAAGAACTCTAAAAAAAAGTGTTAAAAAACTCAGTAAGAATTGTAGAATTGCTAATTGATAAAATTGCAGACTTTCTGTAGAGATTAAAATTACAGAATTTCCAATTGTTAATTTAATTGTTACTCTACCTTAAGAGAAGTGAGAACACAGACGGGCGGCTGGATGGCGATGGAATTGCAGGCAGCGACAGATTGAATTGCAGGCTGCAGCGACGGCCGACGGATTGACGGAGTCGAAGTCTAGGAGACAGAGATAGCAGTAGATAGTCGAAGTCTCGACTCTCTCGATCAAAGAAGAGTAGGGTTTTTAATGACTATTGAGTATTCAGACTATTTTATACGGGAAAAAATCGGGAATACGGCAAGGTAAAAAAAATACGCTTATATATCAGTATATTTGACAAGAATACGTATTCTGGTGTATAATATGCGTATTATACGTACTGGTGTATAATACGCGTATTATAACATTGTCAAAAACTATTATTTTTAATTATTTAAAAAACTTGAAATAAAATATATCATCCATGCAATTTATAGAAAACTTCTTCACATTTTTTGTTTTACATACGAGAATTCTTCTTCTAATTACACTCTTATTTTTTTGTAATGTTCTTTTTGTGTGTTTTCAGTTTATTTTAGTAAACGGAAACTTTTATTCTTTTATTGTTTCTGTTTGTAAGATTGTTTACAATGTTCATTTTGGTTAACAAGACTTTGATTAGTGACTGATAAAGTACAAACCTATGATATTGGTACATAAATTAAGAGTGCATTAGACCATTAATAGAAAAGTACGGTTTACGTTTATCACACTTTGCGTACTAAAAAATCTTCAGATATCATTAGAATTTGTATTTTATTTTAATCTTGACTATTTTTTAAAAAAGTATGAAAAAAATAAAAACATATCATTTGAAAAAAATTACTCTTAAAATCATAGTAACATTAAGTGTAAGAAAAAACTTCACAAACCATATTCTAAAATTCTATAGAAAAACATATTTTTAAAAAAATAAAATCTAACCAGTCCACCTGCCGAACCAAAATCTAATGGACTTGACCGAACCTAAGACCAAACAATAATGTGCACCCCTACTTCAATCATTCAAAAAAACTATTTTTGTTTTAAGGTTAGATTTCCAGAAAATAAATCAAGTCTTTTTTTTATTCTATACCAAAAGGCCCTCAAAAACTTTTTTAGATTAGGCTCACAAAATTCTAAAAAGTGTTAAAAATAAAAAAAGGGTATTCCTAAACTCACTCCCTTCGTGGCTAAATCTATTCCACTTATATAAAATGAATAGATCTACTTGGCTAACATCTAATATTTTTCTATGTGTTTTAAGGATAAAATTGTCCATTTTGCCATAAATGGGGTGGAGCCATAATGCTATAACACCCGATAAAAATATGTATTGTTATTTACTATTTAGCATGATTATAGTTACATAGACACCTAGTGTCATTAACAGCACACAAGGCACCAACTATACAAAATCACTCGATTTAGAAAATTGGTGATTCATTCATCTTCGTTCTAAACCCTCTCCCCTCCTCTCGCCCTCTCCCGCAGAGTGTGGGAGGGTGGTAAGAATGGTAGAAACCATCAATTTTTCGAACATAGCAATATAGGTATCATGTATGCTACAGTTACACTCACACCTAGTGTGCGTATAACCTTGTAGTTGTTATTTAGATGTGATATAAAAATTTGGGTGACATATTTAGTTGTGAGATAAATATTTGGGTGATGTATTCTTTCAAATAACGTTATTTTGTAAGGGAGCAAAAAATTTAGTTTTCTAAAAATAACTCGGGGGACTAATATCAAAAGACCTTAATAAAATTTCATAAGAACTAATGGGATACATTTTGATAACATCACGACTAAATTTTTAGAATGGTCCAAAATGCCCTTGTACACCTTTCAAAAAATTATTTGGATCCGTTTTCCATAAAAAAAACTCACATGTCACAGATTTTGTTTATATTCCAAAAGACCTTCAAATTTATTTTGTACAATTAGATTCACAAAATTCTAAATAAACGTAAAAATAAAAAAGTGAATCGTTAGGTTTTGTTAGATGTGAGATGAATATTTGGGTGATGTACTCCGTATTAATTACTGAAATAGGAAATGAAGTATAGTATTTTATTTTTAAAGGAGGGCGATGGATACATTCCATTGCCACAGGTGAAACAGTGTCCTTCGCTTATTTGAAACATTTTCGTTCGCTTAATTAAAGACAACAGTTGAATTGATTTAGTGCATATGGCGACATTTTTTGTTGTTGCTAGGAGGACCAACATTAAATGTTGTTGCGCAAATTGTCGCCCTAGAGTCCAGACATGACAAAAACATTCCCTAGAAAATGTATGATGGATATTTAAATCCATCGTCCTCTTTCACTACCAAAAAAATTCTATCGTTTTCTCCATAGTCGGGGATAAGAGAACTTAAACCATCGCTCTTTTACATTATTTTTATAGCAATTTCTTGTAGTGACGGGTAAATATACAGAGCATAAATTTTCGTTTAGAATATTTATAATTTTATATGATGCAAAGTATTTATTTATCTACGATTGTATCATAAAATAACTCTTAAAACACATTTTTTGTGAATTGCTACGTGTTATATTTGTTTGACGAGTTAGCTACTCCATCCATATTTAATTGATTATTATGAGCTTTGTGATACATCAAAGTTAAATAAATATAGATATAATGTGTGTCTAAATTAACCCAACCTCGCCTGTATCACAACTCTAATATTTCATGTCTTTATCTGTGATCTATCCCGTAAAAAGTTTTATATTTCTGTTTTGTCCGTCCAAAAAAGGTGCTACTTTTAACTTTTGAAAAAATAGTGCATACAACTTCTCGTATATCAGCATTACTTCCAACCATTCGTTTTCTATTTTCTTAATGTCTGTGTGAAATCAAACACAAAACTTTGTTAAGAAGGGAGGAGTAATAATCATTTAAAAGTATGAATGGAGGGAATAATCAAATCAATTAAAGAGGTGAAGTATGAACATAGTACCTTCAAAATTGTGGAAAAAACGTTGCTTTGGATTTGGTTGTGGTGGTAGGGAAGCCATAGTTCCTTTGTCTTGGAAATTGGTGCCTCATAGTAAAAGACATCCCATCTTACGCCCACTAAAGTAAAACAGTCCCACTCAAAAGCCACCATGTGCATATGGGTCTTCCCCTTCATCAAACCCATGAAAAGGTACTTACTGCTTCTGCTAAACTCCCTCCGTACTCATCACCATTAATTCCCTCAAACAAAACCCATCAATAATTTCTACCAAAAAACCCAAATAAAAAAAATTGAGAAAAACAAAATAAAAATTACAGCTTGGGAAAAGCTTGCTGAGAAGCAAAGAAGAAAGAAAAGCTTCTTCTCATTACCAAATCCTTTTTGCGCCACACTGCTCTCTGAACTGAACTTTCACCTTTCCCTTCCTTGCAATCCATCTTTCACGTGCTTCTTGTCCGTGTTTTTTTATACTATGCGTACAGTATATGTGACTTGCAGTAAATAATAAATTTTCACTTTTTTCTTCGTATTTCTTGATCTATCCGAATGCTGGCAGATCTGGGTCCGGAATTCTACTTTCAATCTCGGGATTGATCCGAATTTTGAGGGGGGTTTTGGCGGGTTTCGATCTCCAGTGCATTGGAGCTCAAGGTGAGTTAAAGGGCACGGCTGAAATTCTTGAAGTGAAAGTTCTTTAGCTGGGACTCGAACTGCTGAAGAATTTTGCAGTTGAAGAATTCTGGGTTTTAATTCTAGGGTTTAGTTGAGCTGTGATTCATTTGGTATTTGAGCTCCACAGTTAAGGGCTTTGCATTTGATTATTTGTGGTTTCGGCTTTCTTGGTATGTATTTGGAATCCATTGTTACCTTTAGTTTGGAAATCTGTTAATGAATGGTTGCCCATATGGTGGAGATGTTGACATTGAATTTGGCTGCCTCATTGGGCGAGAGATATATATACACGGGTTAAGTTCGTACAAGCGAAAGTTTAGTTAGGTCGTTTGTTCATGAGGCACGGCAGAGCACTTTGATTATTACCAATTATTGGTTTTGTTGGGCTTTGGATACTGAGATGCCTCCTTCACCATCAATGAGACGTTCCCCTGGAAGGGCAGAGCCCAAGGCAGTAAATCACAAGAGAGGTCACAGCGTAGAAAGTCGGGCAGTTTTCAAGGAGAAAGACGATGATGATCTTGCGCTGTTCAACGAGGTGCAAAGCAGAGAAAGGGATCATTTCTTGCTTGATGCCAAGGATGAATTTGAAGACATATGCTGTAAATTCCTAGACTTGCCTCAATTTTCACCTTTTAGTAGCTTAGTTGTGCCCCCAAATCATGGGACTGATACTCTCCCCCCTCCCATATTTCTTTCCTTTGACAGCAACTAGACTTAGATGCTTTTCGGAGTATAAGCGCGGGATATCCATCCCTGCTCGGGGAGAGAGCAGCGAATTGCTCAATGATGAGGGAAACAAGAATGATTATGACTGGTTGGTCTTAATTTCCTTTATTTGTTCTTCATGTTTAGATTTCTTACTATTTGAAGATGTAAACATGCACTAATTATTAGATTTCTTAGCTTGTCTTTTCTTGTTTAGTGATTTAATTTGATTTATTCATTCATTAAAGGTTATTAACTCCACCAGACACTCCTCTTTTTCCTTCACTGGATGATGACGAGATACCACCACCGGTTAATGTTTCCCAGAGGGGAAGGCCTCGAAGTCAACCCATATCAATCTCTAGATCATCCACCGTAAGTGGCACTGATACGTCACTACTATTTCAATAGCAGAACTAGTACCCATGCTTTCAGTATCTCCTTGACATTTTCTTCTTCTTCTTCTTCTTCTTCTTCTTCTTGTGGTTTGGATCATTTACAGATGGAAATGAGCCATAGAAGTAGCAGAGGTAGTGCGAGTCCAGGTCGCCTAAGCCCTTCTCCTCGGTCTTCCAATAATAGTTATAATGCAGCGAATCATCTGATAACAAGAGGAAGGACATCATCTCCCTCTCCTACTAGGAACAAAAAACTCTCAAGTCCTCCTCCTCCAACTTCATCTGCTCTAACTCCCAGAAGACTGAGCACAGGCTCCAGTGGCAGGTTGAGGGGTACATCCCCTGTTANCCCATATCAATCTCTAGATCATCCACCGTAAGTGGCATTGATACGTCACCACTATTTCAATAGCATAACTAGTACCCATGCTTTCAGTATCTCCTTGACATTTTCTTCTTCTTCTTCTTGTTGTGGTTTGGATCATTTACAGATGGAGATGAGCCATAGAAGTAGCAGAGGTAGTGCGAGTCCAGGCCGCCTAAGCCCTTCTCCTCGGTCTTCCAATAATAGTTATAATGCAGCGAATCATCTGATAACAAGAGGAAGGACATCATCTCCCTCTCCTACTAGGAACAAAAAACTCTCAAGTCCTCCTCCTCCAACTTCATCTGCTCTAACTCCCAGAAGACTGAGCACAGGCTCCAGTGGCAGGTTGAGGGGTACATCCCCTGTTAAGTCGAATAGAGGAAACTCGGCATCTCCAAAGATTAGGGCATGGCAATCTAATTTGCTTCCTGGGTTTTCCATGGAGGCACCTCCTAACCTTCGCACTTCCTTGGCAGACCGACCAACATCTTATGTTAGGGGATCCTCACCAGCATCAGGAAATGGATCCAGGTCTGGCAGAAAATCGTCAATGTCCCCTGTTAGAAGTGTCAGTTCTACGTATAGTCATGACCGGGATCGTGTGAGCTCATATGGTAAATGTTCAGTTGCATCATCCGGCGATGATGACACGGAATCTTTACAATCAACCCCTGCAAGCAGTTTAGACCCTTTGGGTCCAAGAAGTTTTGGGGGGACATTCCAACATAATAAAGCTCTGGGTTCAAAGAAGAAGATGACTAGAATAACTTCTTCCAGTTCTGCTCCAAAGAGGTCCATTGACATGACACTTCGACAAATGGTATCTTGTTTTACTCTTCTGTTTTGCTTGCAACGATGATAAAATAAATAGGATAAGAGAAAATTGCAATCTCGAGCCCAATTAATTCTGCCTGTTGGTGTTTTCACGGTCTCGAATGCAACACTTTGACCATTAGTTACTATATTTCTATATAAAGAAATATTATAAAAATATGATATGTCAAAATGAATATAATGAAATTTTGTATTAAATGGGGACAGAGGGAGTAGCATTTTTCTGCTGAGTTTTTGCTCTGTTTAATCGATTGACCCATGCTTACTGATGCTTAAAGAACTGCAAAACTCATTTACTGCTTATCTTCAGAATCTATTACTATTGTGAGTAAAACTAAACTGTATTTTGATTTTGATGACCTGAACATTCAAAAAAGTTGAGATTGGTACATTTCATTTTTTCGTCTGTTATTATATTTTGTATGGGAATACTGATTTCACACTTCAAGTGAATCTTTACGCATACCTGCCAAGCATTCTTAATACAATGACCACATTTTTTTTGGGATAGGATCAGAGGAAAAGTCCACATAATATGTTCAGGCCGCTGTTATCAAGTGTACCTAGTTCAACGTTCTATTCAGGCAAAGCAAGTGGCGCGCGTCGTTCCCTTGGATCTCTACACTCTTCGGTCACAACCAGCAGTAATGCTAGCTCCGATCAAGGCATCTGTATTGCACATGACACCGAAGCAAGCGAGCAAAATCAGGACATAAATAGCGAACATGTACAGTCATTGTTTCACGATTCAGACATAGTGTTTGCCCTAGATAATGGTGTTGACGCTCTAGACAATTTAGATCTTGGTAATCAAAATGTTGTGCCACCTAGCAGCAGCCTGCTTGACAAACTAGATGGTCCCCTTGCTGTTGATTCTGGGTCAGTTGCTGATGAAGGTTTCAGTACAAACACTGCAAATTCTGAAGTATTGACCCAATTCGAAGCTCTCATAGTTTGCTCGAAATGCAGCAAGAAGTATTCTCCTACAAAACCTGTTGAAGAAGATCCCAAACTCTGTCCAGACTGCAAAAGTTTGGAAGCACAACAAGTTTTGAGCAGTCCAATGACTAGAATTTTGGTCGTCGCTGATTCTCCGGGAGTTTTGGCTGGTCACAATGAACAACAGGCTTATAGTTACTGTGAAAATCAGAGCGATGTGCCAGGCTGGGACTTGACTTCAAATAAGTCCATTGATCAAACACCATTGCAACCAAGTTACTGTTCTAGTGCCACTGCTAATGTTGCAGAGGGTGCAGGCATTTCTCTGCTGCTGAAAAGGTGTGGCAGTGGCAAAGGGCATATTGTTCAAAACAGGACAGTTAGTGCCACTAGCATAGCATATGATGATTTGTCGTATGTACGCGACAGTGTGAGCAGCCTGAGAAGCTCTTTTGGGCATGGCAGTGCATCTGCTTCATCATCTTCAGTTGACATCGGGTCAACTAGGCAAATGGAGACCGGCATTCAGCGGCAATCCAGTGGCAGGAGGAAACCAGAGGCAGAAAGCTATCGGAATGAAGTCGAAGCAAACTTGTTGTTATTGAGTAATAAAGATAGTAAGGGCGAAAGTATTTGTAGAATCCCTTTGGAACCCACGAGTCACATGACAATTATCCATGCAGAGGAAACTTCGGCCGCAAATTTTGACTCTACTTTTTCTGAAAATGGTGACATATTAACTAACTCAGTTCATTCGTTAGACATGGATCCTTCTTGCATGGAATCTGTGCCATCAACTGTTAAAGAAGATGTGCCAAATTATTGCGTTGACAACTTGCATGACACTGAAATTCCTGAGGAAGACTGTTTTGATGCAAAATGTGGAGTGGAAATTCAGAATGATGATATCCGCTCTCATCATTTGCAGTCTGATGGTAGTTCAGGGAGCAGTAGACATGACGTGAAGGGGTGTGCTTTACATGCAGCGAATGGCGAAGAAATTGGAGATCCTGTTGAAACAGATGCTTGTCACAGATACGGTATATATATATATCTTTTGAATTTCATATAATCCTACTTGTGTTGAATTCCCTTTTCACTTTTCTTTTCTACCCAATTTTAGCATTATGAAATAAAGTATAGAATCTTGATATATTTATACTGTGGTTTTATTGCATCCTTACTTCAGGTTATAGAAATGACTTCATCAAAATGAAAAAAATAAACCTCTATTGCTTCTTACTTTCTATGAAGTTTTCGGCAATAAATGCAACAATGCATCTATGGTCTTAACAAGCTATTTTTTATAGGGGTAAGACAACGTACACTGTACATCTTGACCCTCAACAATGTTGATAGCATTGGGTTGTTGTTGGTTTTATTGCGTCCTTACACCTTATATGCTTAATTGGAGGGAGTCATGCTCAAATAAACCATTTTTGTATTTTGACAACAAAAACCAAGGACCTAAAAGTGGTATCTAGGTAGGGGGTGCGTGTACGCAGACCTTAACCCCTACCTAAAAAGGTAGAGGTCGTTTCCAAAAGACCATTGCCCCCCAAAAAAACATAAAAACGTGTTAGAGCACTCAAATTATCTACAAATTAACAAACCCCTACAAAGGCAACCCTCCACACCTAACCCCCTCAGGTAATCCAAGTGCCATGTCAAATTATCCTACAACTTTTTTGTATTTTAAGAATTTAAAAATATATATCAAGAAGTGAAAAAGAATATGATATTCATCATTTTTTTTGCGCTGTTACAAAACAGAGGAATCGACTGTTGTCATAGAGGGACATTCAGGTGTCAAAACAAGAAGCTTGACATTAGAAGAAGCAACGGATACAATACTGTTTTGCAGCTCTCTTGTCCACAATCTGGCATATAAGGCTGCCGATATAGCAATTAGCAAGGAAAGTTCGTCCCAGCCTACTCTCACGGTAGTTGGCAAAGCCAGCCCAGATAGAAGGGGGGACCTGTGGAGCAGAACCTCGGCGAGGCGCAACTCCAGGCCTTCTCAAAAAGGGAAACCAAAGGTGATTGAACCTGAATCACAACCCCCTCCAAACAACACCGATTGTGATGAGAAAACCGAGAAATCGGGTGCTCATGTTGTGGGGGTGGGTCCCACTAAGGACGACGCCTTGAAGCCTCCTCCTCCTCCTCCCCCTCCAAAACAGGAATCGAAATGCAACTGCACAATCATGTGAGTCTTCAATTCACACCATTCTTGCACAGCTCAAAGGGTGCTCGGCATAGAGTTTGATTTGGCAATTGCTTTTTTTTGTTCCCTTTCTTTTTCCCACTCTTTTGTTGGTTCAAATTGAATTTAAAGATATGATTCAGTAACATAATCATTGTAAAGTTTTAAATTCTTGTTAGGCTGATAAATAGCAAGGTGTTCCTGGTGCCATATACTACCTCCGTCCCATTGTCTTTGTCCAGTTTTGACTTTTGGAACTGTTCATCTAAGCACTTTGACTCATCAAATTTTCTCAATGTGTAAGCCTAAAAATAGTCATGTGTGATCTTGTTTGATTCGTCTTAACATATAGATTATTAATATATAATTTTTATAATTTTTTAATATACAAATTATAAGATAAAATAGATTAAAGAAGTGCATTGGATGGTGTGCTAAAAGGTAAGTGGACAAAAACAGTGGGACGGAGGGAGTATATTCTTGTTACATCACTTGTATCTGGTTTGTAGTTTTCCACTAGTGAGCAAAGTGTGATCATTTATTTTTTTGCACTTTCAAGCTACAATGAGTTCCTTGTTAGATTCATTCATGTATTGTTCTTTGTGCTTTCAATGGAGGGAAAGAGAAGGATAGATAGGGTTTAGATGGATGTTGAGACTTGTGGGTGTATGCAATCATAAATTTTGTTTAGAAAAGAGAAATGATGATATAATTTGTTTAGAAAAGAGAAATATAGCGAGTCACACACTCTTTTTCTTAAAAGGAAATTTAGAAGAATGAATTTAATTTTGAGACTGTCAGAAATGAAAAGTGTGATTTTGTTTTAAGGACAAAGGTATAAGAAGTAAGAAAAACTTAATGTGCTCTTTTTAAGGTTGCTTTCACTTCTTCTAATGTGTCATTTTGATCTTATTCATTATTACTCTGTATATATCTAAAACTAAGGGTGTGTTTGGTGAACAAATAAGATATAGGTTTTGAGATCTCTGAATATCAAAATCTTTTTTCTGGTATTTGGCGAAGCTTAAAAAGATATTGAATTTGATATCTTCAGATATCATAAATCTTTAAAAGAAAGGATTTCGATGTTTTCCGAATTTAGAAGATATCAATATGTGAGTTTGATATCTCTCTCAATCGCTGATCATTCTCCACTTCTAGCCACCTTTGTCACTGCCAACCACTCATATTACCGGTCATCTCTGTTTATCACTAATTAAATCATAATTTTAAATCTCTTCAAACAAATTCGTTTCAGAGTTTAAAACACATATCATATCTACGAGATTTCATAACCCATATTTTATCATATCTCCAAATTTCACATAATGGCCCCTAAAACATTGTGAAAAATATTTCTTTTAGCTCCATTGACATTAGATGCAATGTTTTTGTAAAATAAATAATGGTTTGTTCAGGAATTTGGATTTAGATTTCAAATTTGGATGTAAATTTGAATTTAAATCAACCTTCTCTAATTCTTAAGAATGCTCAAGTACAAATCCATATAATCCTAGATTCCTTTTGATATCTGGAATTCAAACTATGGAATTAAAATTGAGGACAAAAATTTTAATTTTGTTGTTTGGTAATACAAAAATATGTTGATTTGGAATTGGTGGTGCCAAAAATAAATTCGAATTGGAGAATTGAATTCCACCCAAATCAATTTTATAGAATTCCAATTAAATTCCAATTCTGTGTATTAAACGAACTCCTATTGTAATTTGAAATCTAAGAATTAAAATTTAGAATTAATGCCCAAAATTCAAATGAAATCTATCTTTCAAATACTACATAAATAGATTTAAATTTCACCTCTAAGCCTTTTCATTTATATGTACTCCGTAGTATTTTCTTTTGGGAATATACACTCTATTTATTTATTTAAAACATATCTCTCATAATAGATGCGTACTAGGATACATAAAATTTCACATTGCTATATAATTAACATAACTTTATGGTAATATGTGTCATTTCTGTGTCTTTAACAACAAACACCAGAATTTTAAATTGTAAAGATAAATTTTATTTGTGCAATGCACACAAATGATACGCTGTAAAACCTTTATAGTGCTATTAACTTGATTCCAGTGTAGTATCAATTTGTATTATTGCAAACTTAATAACGCACAAAGAGTTACAATGTAAAGCTTGTATGTGCAAGATGTCATGATTTGTCTTTGTACCTAAAAACTCGAGACGCGCTGTATGTATTAGTCTTCAATTTTCAAACATCAGTTTCAATTAATCCATTCATCTAAAAAAGAATGTCGTAATATGCAAAATGAAACAAAATTTTAAATTTTTTTAAATTCATTTTATTTAAAAAATAAAATTTACTTATTTAAAAACTACTTAAACAATTTTACAAAATATGAGGTGATAAAATATTTTATTTTATCAAATACTTAATAAAAATATATTGACAAATAAAAATGACAATGTAGTGAATTTCCAATGGGAAATAGAACTGGTTGGGTGGGATGGGAGAGGGAGAAGATATCACAAGGAAAGACATATGCCATCAACCTCCAACCTAAACGTCTATGTACGAACGATTCTGGAGAAATGCCGCCATATCCATCATCTCAAGCAGCTTCAAGCTCATCTCATCGCGCTCGGCCATGGCCAGACCCAATTCTACGCCTCCAAGCTCGTCCGGTTCTGCACCCTCTCCCTCTCCGACCTTGGCTATGCCCGCTTCATCTTCGACCACCTTCCACACCCTAACGTGCATCTCTACACCGCCTTGATCACCGCCTACAATCTGCACTCCGATCACAGTTCCGCGCTTCGATTGTACAGGGAAATGGTGCGCAGAGGCAGTTCAAAGCCGAATGAGTTTGTGTTTCCCTTAGTCTTGAAGTCTTGTCCGGCGGTCGTCGAGCGATTTGGGACTCAAATGGTGCATACCCAGATCGAGAAAACGGGGTTTCTGGATTACCCGGTTGTTAAAACGGCGCTTTTGGATTCGTACTCTAGGTTTTCCTCTGATATTGGGGTTGCCCGTGAACTGTTCGACGAAATGCCTGAGAGGAATGTGGTGTCATGGACTGCTATGATTTCTGGTTTGACCAGAGTTGGGAAGATGGGAGATGCCATTTTCCTGTTCGAGGAAATGCCCGAGGAGCTGAGAGATACTCCCTCTTGGAATTCGATCATCTCTGGGTGCGCGCAGAACGGCTTGTTTCCGGAAGCACTTTTGTTTTTCAGCAAGCTGGTTCTGGAGGAAAGGAAGACAGGGAATGCGAATAGACCAAACCAGACTTCTGTAGTGTGTGCGCTTTCTGCGTGTGGCCATGGCGGAATGCTGCAACTGGGAAAGTGCATTCATGGGTATATGCTCAGGACCGGGCTTCCATCTGATTCATTCACATCAAACGCTCTGATCGATATGTACGGGAAATGTGGGAGTTTGAAACAAGCAAGAACAGTTTTTGATTCCAGCCCCAGAAAGAAAAGCTTGACCTGTTGGAATTCCATAATCAATTCTTTTGCCCTTCATGGTCACTGGAAATCTGCCATTGCTGTTTTCACAGAGATGCTACAGTGCAAAGATGCTGTGAAACCAGACGGGGTAACTTTCGTTGGATTACTAAATGCCTGCACACATGGGGGATTGGTAGAGGAGGGGCTTCGCTTGTACGATTTGATGATGAGAAAGTACATGATTGAGCCTGAGATTCATCACTATGGCTGCCTAGTCGACCTTCTGGGCAGGGCAGGCCGGTTCAATGAGATAATGGAAGTTGTGAAGGGGATGAGGGTGCCACCTGATGAGGTGGTCTGGGGTTCTTTACTCAACGGGTGCAAGATTCACGGGCAAACAGATTTGGCCCGGTTTGCTCTGAAGAAACTGATCAAGATTGACCCGAACAATGGTGGGTACTACGCAATGCTGGCTAATCTCTGCGGGGGACTAGAAAAGTGGGACGAAGCGTTGAGGTTAAGGAAGATAATCAATGACCAGAGTGCTCATAAGGTCCCGGGTTGCAGTTGGATCGAGGTTGATGGCCGAGTTCATCAGTTCTATTCTTTTGACAAATCACACTCTATGACTTCAGATATATACATGGTTTTGGATTCTATACTGACCCCTATACGCCCAAACTAAGGGGTATATTCAATTTAGACTTTACAAGAGTCTTTTGTATTTTAAAAACACGTGGGCATTCTTAAAGAATCATTTAAAATCTCGAAGTATTCAAAACCTCGAACTTTCATTTTAAAATACTCATCAATTAGTATTGAAAAATCAATGGATTTCCAAAGAGTTTCATCAAATAAGGATTGTGAAGGATTCTAGAGCCCTTTTACAAATCCCACTAGAAATGTAGAGATTTTGATGGAGATAAACCTTCTCTTCATCTTCTTCTTCTTTCTACTTCATCTTCTTCCTCTTTCTTCATCTTCCATTCTTCAATCCTTCTTTTTCTTCTTCTTCTTCTTTTTTTCTTTTTTTTCTTCTTCTCATTCTTCCCTTCTTTCGATCTGACCCAACCCTCTTCCACCCGTCTTTTTTTCACCTTTTATATGTATTACAGAGTATAATAATAATAATACTCCCTCCGTCCGGTATTAAAGTTTACGTTTTGACTTTTGGTCATTTTTAAGAGAGGTTGACTAACCCTGTGAAATGACCAAAATACCCCCTTTCCAGTCTCCTCCTGACCCGACGGCTCAAAATCGGAAAACAGCCCATAGGCCGCCGCGCTTCTCTCGCCCCTACGCCTCCGGATCTTCGGCACCGGCCTCCACGAATGGGCCCAAAGCCAGAGCCAATCTCCACGGATCTTTGGCACCACCGTCGAGGATGTCATAAACCTCCCTGTCGAGGAACCCTGGAAGCTTCCTCTCCTTCCTCAAATCGTTCCTCACCCAAAACCGCCGCCCACTTCGGCTCAACCTGAGCCGACCCGGATTCCAGCCCAGCCGTTCGACCCCTCCTAACCCGGCTCTCCACGACTCTTTTCCCCTGTATGAGCACCAGGAACAGCCCATCGTCGTCCACCAGGGAAGCCGCGGCGTCTTGGCACCATCTCGTCCTCAATTGGGGGTGGGGGGGAGAAAGAACAGAGGAAGGGTCAAGAGAAAGAAAAGAAGAAGAAAAGCAAGAAAAAGAAGAGGAGGAGAGAGGGGGAGAGAGAGGTTTGAAAATGTATAGATCTAGCGGATGGGATAAGAAAAAGAAGAAAAGAGGAACTAAGGAAGAAGAGGAAGTGGGAGGGAGGAGAGGGAGAGAGAAGATTGAAATGGTAGAGAAGGGTATTTTTGGAAGACTGTAGGTTAAAATTAGAAATGTAAACTTTATTTTCGGACGGAGAAAAAAGAGAAACGTAAACTTTATTTCCGGGCGGAGGGAGTAATAATAATAATAATAATAATAATAATAAATATAAATATAAATTCTCTCGAAATAATAATAATATGGAATAATAATAATAATAATTTACGAGCGGTCAAAACTTACGAACTTTTGACCAAAAAAGTTAATTGAAAAAAGTTATGGACTAAGTGTGTAATTAATTAATTAATTAATAATAATACGTAGAAAAAATGGAAAAAAGAGGGGTAGAAGAGGGTTGGTCAGATCGAAAGAAGAGAATTGAAGGAGGAGAAGAAGAAGAAGAAGAAGAAGAAGAAGAAGAAGAAAAGAAGCGAAGAAGGAGAAGAAGAAAAGAAAAAAAGGAGCAAAAGAAGAAGAAAAAGAAAAAGAATAAGGATTGAAAAATGGAAGATGAAGAAAGAGGAAGAAGAAGATGAAGAAGATAACAGAGAAATTTGGCTTTGACGGAAGATAGACGGAATGTCACCCCGTAGTAAGTTCTTGAATATTTTAAGGTATCTCATAGTACATTTTGAAAAATAATAAGACCTGTGAGTTCTTATTACAAAACTAAAGGTACTCAAGAGTAATTTTTTGCATATGTAGGCTTGCCTAATATGAAATGTGAAGAGTCTCTATTATAAATTGATTTCCAATTATGCAGAATTAAATACTCTGTATGTGGCAATAGACACATTTTTAGTATTACGATGATAAAAAAAGCTTTAATTTTGTAAAAGCGGTCATTAAGATACTTAATAGAAATTACCCTAAATAAAAGTAAAACATTAAAAAAGTATCAAAATAAGAGCTCCATGTTTTTTGTTCCGAAATAGGAGTTCGCACTGTGGTAATGTGACACTGTACATGTACACGTTATTATTATACGTTTTGGTAATATACATGGACATGTTTGGTAATGTAAATGCATTTTAACTCCTATTTTGGAAATAAAAATATAAAAGTTCTGTTTTAGTTTTTTTCAATATTTTACTTCTACTTTAGTCTTTATCTCGATACCTAATGATAACACATTAATGACACTCCATTAATTGATACTTAGCCGTTGCCCATAGGGAACATATATCAACTCCCAAAAATAAAATACATTAATATATTACAATAAAATATACACTTGCTACATATAATCCAAAGTCAATGAGTGGGAAAATAGAATCAATATTTTCCCTGTTTTTAAATAAAGTGTTGATGAACATAAATTGAAGTTAGATAGGGGTTTTAGAGCCTACATAAATAAAATTAAAATAATCCATAAATCTTAGTATTAATTTTACATGAATTATAAAAAAAAGAAAACTCTCTAAACAAGAGTAAAACATTAGGCTTATACCCAATATAGGAGTCCATAAGTTATATACCTAAAATAGGAGTTCATTAATCTCTTTATTAACCCGCCTCTTTGGACCGATCAATCTCTGCTCTTTTTTTGCTCCCTCGCTTAACGACCACAACCACCATTTCTCTCTCTTACTTTCGGCCACGACCCTCACCATGTTGATGCACCACCGTCAAAACCACCCCAAGTGTAGTATATCACCGCCGCCGGACCAACTCCCCCTTGCAGATCTGTCACGATGCATCCCCTGCAAGAGTTTGAATCTTGTATGGAATTGGATTATCCAAGGTTAGCACAAGCTCTATATTTCCTTATAGAGTAAACATTATATATTATGATTGACATTACCCAATGATATGTTTGTTAGTATGCATTGTCATCTTTGGCATTGTGGCTTTGTTTAGTATTGTATTGAAATCAATGAAACTGTGGCCTACAAATACTGTAATTGCATCTTGTTGGGTTGAGGTTTGTTTTGCAATCAATTTTGTATTGAATTTTTTCTTTTTGTTAATTAAGGTGCTTGATTTTTGTTTCTAAGTTAGGCAAAATTTGGTAAAGTCAATTGAAACTTGACACTGAATATTGGCAACATTAACATAATCACTTCCTGTTTGACATTATACATTTACATGTTCAGCCTCATGCATTGGCATGTTTACCACTATAAATTGTCATCTTTGACATTGTGACTTTAATTGATATTGTATTTAAAGTTTTTTCTTGACATTGTGGGGGTGACAAAGGCACACCGTCTTTCATTAACAAAATAATCTTTAAATATAGAAGGCAGAAGTTGGAATAATGTTAGCAGTGAAACGAATACATTTGTAGTTTGATAAATGTGTCTTTAAGAAACGCCAATCAGTTTGCATCCTTCAGTCTTGGTGTGTTGTGTATTCTTAGGATTTGTTTAAACAAGGTTCTCAGGGTTTTGTTAATGTTTTTGCTTCAAACTGGAAAAAATGTTTTGGACTCCTCCATGGTTTTACCTTGAGGTTTGCAAGCAGCAGTTTAAACACTCTCCTATTTGTACAAGCATCACAATTCCTGAGACAATTTAGAAGCTGCAATACAATAGCACCATATTAGGAAGGTTGGTGTTCCATATGTGAAGTAAGCATAAGCTAAAATTGTGATGTAACATACTTCCTTCGTTTCATAAAACCATTCCCTTTTCGTTTTTTCCCAATTCCTTAATGGTGTGTTTGGAAACATGGATTTCGATTTCAAATCCGGATTTAGCTCAAATTCCACATTTGGGAAACTTACAAATTTTGAATATGGATTTGAATCAAATTTTTCTCATTCATAACAAAGCTTAATTTTAAGTTCATGCGCCTCTCCTTGTCATTTGAAATTCAAGATTTCAAATTTTGGAATTGAAATACATGAATTAAAATGCAATCCTAGTTGCCAAATACTACCTAAAACACTTCAACTTTCTATTAAAAACCCACTTTTACCCCTACTTTTTCATACCCTAGCTATCACATCATACTTTTTCACTAATAACCAAACTATCACATCTTATTTTTACATATCACATCAGAGACAAAATTGGAAAGTCAACCAAAATTACGCTTTCCTGAGAGAGTATAAAGTAGGAGTGTAAACATTGTCCTATGTGTACATCCTCCTATATACAATGGTAGGAGGACCTTAGGAATAGTGTTCCCGCCATTTTCTCCACCATCAATTGGGCCGGACCTTGCTGCTGGACATGGGCCGAGATTTGAACTGGATTGGGCATGCTGCTGACAATTTATTGGGTTGCATTTGACGGCTTGGTGCGGAGCTCCATAAAGCAATGTAATAATGGTTTATGTGGAAGTGTGTCATATCAATGCTTTACATCTTATCAATTTAATAGTTAGATTTACAAAATCCAAGCATTTAATGTGCTTAAACTTTTTTTCTTTTTCCAAATAATATATATACACCTCTTTCCATCCAAACCTACACCACTTCACTATACTGGCATTAAGATATAAGTTTCATATATACCAAAAATATGGCTCAAAATTCCGAAAAGAGGTCCATGACAATGTTCACTCCAATTGCAGAACTCAACAGCGATAAGAATTTTTGGATTCTCATGTTGAGGGCTATTCGAGTTTACTTTGTTCCTAAGTGGGCGAAAGGTGGAGATTCCATGGAGATCGTCTTTCACGATGAGCATGTAATGTATTCTACAAGTTATTACATTTGTTTTTTTTT